CCTTGTAACCTGTCTAGGTCAGATTGTAGCCTGTTGCTTCCTTCTAGTGTGCCCACGTCCCCCCACATCTTAGTGTCATCAGCAAATTTGAACAGGGTGCTTTTTACCCCCTCGTCCAAATCACTGATGAAGATGTTGAACAGTGCGGGCCTGAGGACCGAGCCCTGTGGAACCCCACTGCCCACATCCCTCCAGGTTGAGAAGGACCCATCCACTACCACCCTCTGGGTGCGGCCCTCCAGCCCGTTGGCAACCCATTTGACTGTGTGGAATCATGATTGTGGAAGTATTCTTTCAGCAGAAGTCTGCAAAATAATTATTTTAATTCTTCACATATTGGTATCTTGTCAGGTTGTTTCTCGGGGCAGAAATTCAGGCCTTTGGAAAGTATAGATATTTCAGAGGGATACAGGGTGTTGTGATAATAAAAGCTATCACCTAAAAAACAATCCTTGCCTCTTGCATAATTCCTGAACCATCACTGCTACATTACTCCAACACCACCATAAGATGTCCTTATCAGACTACCTTCAGCACAATAAGTGCAATTGATTTTTCCGCTGTGTTAGCAATTCTTCACATTAAATTATTGAAATCCACTCTCATCAATACTTCCAGAAAGCTATCAAAAATAGATATCTTACAATACTTTGAAATCTTTATTTCACTTGAAATAAGCATTGCAGTGAATTTTAACCCAGTGTAGTCTTTTCACCTAGATGCAAGCTAATGCAAACTTTGCAGAAGGACTTAACTATTCTTCATTAGAAGCTGCTATGAAAAGAAAACTAGTCATGTGACTGGAGGGAGTGCAACTCATGCTCAGAAGTCATTTCATTTTTTTTCTGGCAAGTTTAACCCACTGTTCCTACCACTCTTCATAGCTGACACAACTCCAGTGGTGACAATAATGACCATCTTTTTGGTACAGACAGGGCCCCAGTAATTTTAATATAATTGTGTTATTCTCATACAACAGAAAGATAAAGTCACCCTTGAATTTACCTAATACTATATAGTAAAGTTCCATCAAGATTACATCTGTAGAGACTTTTGCCCTTTAAGATTCCATATCCTAGAACTGTGTAATTATATCACAGTGGATGGGTGTGTGTGTGTGCGTGTGTGTGTGTGTGTGTGTGTGTGTAAGATTGAGTTTCTGTCCCCTGTAGTTGCCAAGAAAACTTTGCAAATGTGAATCAAGTGAAGCCATTGAGGTGTGTGAATTTGCAGAGAGCCTGAAAAAATACTTCTAGGTGGTAAACACATATTGCACTCCACTGACATGCATCTCATTTGGCAGGTATAACTTCAAGACCCACTGCTTTGGGGAACCTGCAAAAAACATCTAGACAAAGAATATAGCAAGGGGCCTCTGTTACCACAGCTATAAGTGGAGGTAAAACTACATAGAAGGGCCTGTGTTATGGGGTGCCTAAGATCCTGGATTACTTTATTCCAGCCATATACCCCCTTCCTAATACCACTAGTGGAAGAAGCAATATTATTGATAGCAAAACAGATGAAAATCCCTGATGCAAACACACCCTAGATTTCATCCTGGAGTGCATCCTGGATGCCTGCTGAGCATAGCTATTCATTGGTGCCATTCAGCATGTTTTGCCTATAGAGACTCCTTTTTATCCAAACATCTAGGGAAGATTTCCAAACATTATTGTCACAGCACCCTGTGGGGTGCAAACTACTAAACGCACTGTAGACAGCATCTTCCAACTGAGCTAAGTGGACTATTTTCACCCACTAAATACAGTAATTTTGGATAACTTATTTACTTGTGACAAATGAATCTCCAGCATGAAGCCTGGATTCAATTAACTGGCATTCAGCTTGTGGAAGGTCTGTGCAAACACAGCATAGTCCCCAAAACTGAGGTTTTCATGGATTTTGCTGCCTTGCAGGACTTTTGTGGTCTGGAAACTTAAAGTATTTCTTATTAAATAATTCTAGTTATTGTAAAGACTTGTAGCTATCATCTACAAACACTAATCTTGAAAGCCTCAACTTTGCCTCTGAAATTATAACTATCTTCATAACAAATATTGCTAAGAAACATTGCACTGGAAAAAAAAACAGGTTAGGAAACTTGTACTGCCAAGACACAAATTACTAGCCCTTCTTCTAACAGGCTTCAAGTTCAAGGACCACTATATTCATGCAAAGAAG